AATGTTATGGCTGATCAGTGTATTCCAAATGTAACACAATAAGTTATTTCTGTGATACCTAAATGTGCCTGATGTAGGATAAGGTATTTGGCGTTAAGGAACTAACTGCTCACAGTGACTATAAATAGCACTAACCTGTAAGTCCTGTTGGAGCTCTTGGACCTGTCTTTTCTTATACTTTAGCGTATTCTCGGCTGCATTCAACTGCTCTTCTAGCTTTAGTTTTTCCTGGTACTCTGGACCTATAACAAAAACAGGCTTGATTACTTTGTGATTAGTGCTGCTCTGTTGATTTCAACTGACAACGAGAAAACGCAATCACACAACTTCCTGCTTATGATCCCTGATAAGAGTTTGTTGTTGCTAGTTTAGTTTCATTTAGTCTTGATGCTTACTTACTGGATTTATTTACTTTGTTGAGGGATTTGCAAAATGCTGAGTTACTATTGTTGAACAACTGAATGGTGTTATCCAGAGCTCTGTTTTCCAGCTCCATCTTGCAGATTTTAGCATCCAGATCGTCTCCCTTCCGCTTGAGCTCCTCTTTGTCTTGTGCAGCCTTATGAAAAGCAGGAGAGATTGAAAGTGCTGGTGTGCACTGCAGGAACACATCTAATCTTGTTCAGGTTCAACAGACTCTGCATGTAAACATGACGATGTGTTTAAAGGCCTCTTACCTTTGTGATGTAGTAAGCTTGTGATTTCTCCTCTTCTCCCTCAGGAGCTGCCAGTGTAAGCATCACAACCTCGAAGCGTTTCTTCATCACGTCAATCTTAGACAGTTTCTCATTCAGTTCAACACTGGGACAGGATTAATGGCTAAAGTTAAGTGATCTTGGTATAGAACCTACTGTTACGTGAAAACGTGTGAGAAGTATGACATGAAACACAACTGAGAGCAAAGTTTTATCTGTTTGACCTTACCGGAAAGTGAGATTTAGTCTCACTGCTGGGATTTTTACCTGAGTCTCTGTCTGTCCTGCTCACTGATCTTGAGCTGCTGGTTGAGCATTTCTCTGTAGACCTTGATCTCATCCTCCCTCTCCTTTATGGCTTTCTGCAGCTCCAGCTTCCTCTTCTCCAAGGAGAGCATGCTGTCCGCCTTGTTGTACAGCAGATTGCTCATACGCTTCACCTCCATCTTCATGATGTTATGCCCCACCATCTTGTCCTGATGGGGAACATGTGAGGTCAACAACATGGTGCATCTAGGTGGTTCTCATTTTCAGAGACATGACATAATGCACACTATCTTCTAAGTGTAAAACCCTTAAAGGTCCAGTGTGTAACAATTATGAGGATCTACTGACAGAAATTTAATATAATATTCATAGGTATGTTTTCATTAGTGTATAATCGCATGAAAAAAATAATTGTTGTGATTTTGTTAACTTAGAATGAGCTGTTTTTATCTCCATGGCTGGCAAATGAAACCAACAGGGAGTGCTGAAATCTGCAGTTCCTCCAACAGCCACTTGAGGCTGGCTATAGAAGTAATCAATCTCCATAATACCCCATATTAAAATGCCCAACTTTACAGCACACACAAACATGTTTACAGCCTGGTACCAAAAAACATTTTAGTCTCTATAGCTAATATATCCTGGTTCAAGAACTGTACAGGGGTGAGGTTTTATACAACTCATCTGTTTTGATTATATAAAGATTTAAAGTTGTGCATAATTAAGGGCATGGCCACTTTGAGTGACAGGTGGGTACTGTCACAGGCGGCTGTTTTTTAGCAACCAGGCTTCATTTGGCACGCCTCAGCTGTACCCATGCTGGATCAGCCGGGAGCAGACAGAGTCAGGACTGCCAACATGTTGACAGCCAGAGCCACCACATTTTGAGCTTCACAGCGGCTCTTCAGAAACCTATACAGGCCGTATCCATTTTTAATTATACAGTCTACGGTTGGCTCTGGGAAACTGTGACAGAACAATTCTTACTATTTTCTGGCATTCTGCACCCTTAAACCTTAAAAAATAGACAGATCTTCCTCAAAAGTTGCCAGATTCCAAAATAAGATCTTAAAACTATTACTTAAAAATATACTTAATTACTTATTTTGTCTAACCAAAAGTATATAATAAGGAAAGCTATTAAATATATAGATAGAAACTAACCATGAAAAATAACCATTACATGTTTATTGTACTTAATTAATGACTTACTGTAATACTTTTGATCATTATAATATCCCTCAATACATTTTCTGACAATTAAATAATTGTTTCCAAAATATGGAGATATGACCTTAAATCAAACTCAGCACAAAGAAGCACTTTATGTCTAATTTCTTAATCACAATATGAACACAGGAAGTCCTAAAATGGTTACCACACGTAGTGATTTTTATGATTACTGCTACATCAGTTAGTTACCTGTTTTGTGAGCCGGATTCTCTTCAGCTCCTTTTCATTGGTGTTACAGAGGAGCATGAGCTCGTCTACCTTGCCAGTCAGATCTCTCTTTTGAGAGTCTGACTTCGCCATCTCTTTCCTCAAATAGCGAATATCATCCTGTCAGAGACAAAGACGTATGTTACTCCACTGGTTCAGTGTGTGAGAAACGCAGAACAGTACGGTGAAGTAACAGCTGGACCGACCTCACACTCCTTGAGCGTGCTGTTAAACATTCTGGCTGTCTTGTCCTTCTCGTCGAGGGTTTTTGTCAGCTCAGCGATCTTCATGTCCAGCATTTCTTTTTCATCTGAGTGAATGTCACCTTGCAGCTGTGCCAGCTTTTTACCCAGGTAGATGACCTGGTTGTCCTACACAATGCAGGAAAGTAAAAGGAAAATGTATTGGTATTTCAGAGTGTAGCACCAGACTAGGGACAGGTGGTATTGTGATGGTAGAAGGTCACATTTGTGTGTGTGTGTGTGTGTGTGTGTGTGTTTGTTCTGGTAAGCGTGCCTGTTCACTCATGGTCATCTGTTGTCTCATCAATTCCTGCTCCAGTTTTCTGAGATTGCTTTTCAGGTTGCTGACTGTGGCTTTATTCCTCGAAACCTGGGCGATAGAATCCTTCTCCTTTGTCTTGAGGGCCTGCAAACGCTCTTTACGACAAAAAAGCTCCTCCCTGCAGTCACGCAGCTGGACATCCAACTCCTATAGCAGAGACAGGCCAAAACAGGGTTACACAGACGTATATGACGGCACAAAGCTATGTGATTTCACTGCCTTTAATCGATATTGATAGCTGCAGAGTGACAGGAAAGGGGGGAGAGAGAGAGGGGATGACACACAGCAAAGAGCGACAGAAAAACACATGGCTGCTGTAACAAGGACTCAACCTTGGTATATGGGGAGCCAGCTCTACCAGGTGAGCTATCACAACACACCAAAGCTATCTGTCTATAATTGGTTTAAATTCATGGCAACACAAACATACAGTAGCGGATATTTTCGGTTGTGTGCTATAAAGCTATAAAGCAAAAATAATAAGAGAGTGCTGAGATGCAAAAAGGTTTTGGAATTAAAAAGTTATAATGTAACACCAAAGCAAATGAACAGTACACGGTTCAGGATTGTCAGGCTTACCTTGATTGCCAGTTCCTCATCCTTGAGGAACTGGTCCATCTGCGCAGCTTTCTCTTCCTCACTCAGGGTGCTCTGAGTCACAACTTGCAGCTTCTCTTCCAGCGCAGTGTTGTAGGCCCTGGCCTCCTTGACTCTACAACACATACACAGACAGAGCTTGTGCACTAGAGCTTGAGTGGTAATCCAGCAACAGACTTGTGTTGTACAATTTCACTCACTTGTTATTGTTATCCTGGATGTTTTTCTTTAGTCTGGATATTTGGGCCGTCACAGACTCCACATCAGACGCTGCTCTGTCCCGTGAAGCTTTGCAACTGTTCAGCTGCAAAGACACGATAATCAATCTTCGTTACAATATGAAGGTAGATTACAGTTGAGTCAGTTACTTTTTGATGTTGTTAAGCCAACCTCATCCTGTAGCCTGCTGCAGTTATTCTCCTGCTCATTCAACTCTTCCCTCAGCTTTACAGCCTGCCGGTTGGTTATGCTTATCTTCCTCTCAGTTTCCTTGTTGTTGTTCCTCTGAGTGTCCAGCAAGTGCTTCCACTCTGTAATGGTGCCATTCCTTTCCCTGATGTTCTGGTTGGCTTGGGCAAGTTGCTGGATGGATTAAGGAACAAGACAGGAACACAAACACTTTGGTTGACTTTTATTGTTCAGGAGTTTAGAAGCTATAGTTTGAGTCAGCGTGTCTTTCATCAGCATAAGGGTAAGGTCGGGTCACAGACTTTACCAGCGCACACTGCTGCATCTCAGCGTCTCGTTGCTTCATCTGCTTGATAGTGTTTTCCCATTGGTGGATGAGGTGCTGCGTCTGCACGTGGACCTGCTGCAAATTCTCTGCAGTTTTATCAAAAGCAATCTGTTGGGAAAGCACAGGGTGAATGTTTTCTCGTGGACACTGCAACATGGGAGTGACACTCAAGAACAACATGGTGTCAATTCTTATTTTACTTCTACAATGAAGTGTCATCTTACATGATCTGGGACATTAAAATTGCATATATTTTGATATCAATCATAAATTTGTTCCTCCTAAACAACCATCTGCAATGCAGTGCCAATGGCATTGGGACTCTTATATACGAATCCAGGTGTCCAGATGGTCATTGTCGCTGGCAGACATCCTCAAGTAATTTCCCCCTGGGATTATTAAAGTATTTCTGATTCTGATTCTGAAGGAAATGTGCATATTTCAGGTTCAAACTTCAAATCCTCTTATCTGACTACTTTGTTCTACTAACAGGACACAGTGGCCACCAATTTTCCCTCAATATAGGAGAATTTCCTTCTTTTAAATATCAAATGTTCATGATTTCCTAGATGTCTTGTACTGAATAGAAAGGAAATTGAACAGCCCTCTTGTAGCTAAGAATGTGCACTGCTGGTGCACCATAAAAATAAACAAAGTTCTTTCAGCTGATGTTAGTTTGTCTTGCAACCGTGAGAGTGTACGGTGTTTTCTGTACAGTACCTGTGCAGATATAGTCTCAGTCAGTTCTTTGTCAAACACTTTGCGCTTTTCACTGGCCTCCAGTGTCTTCTTCTCTATAGCGAGACTCAGCGACTGTATCAGGAGAGATTATGAAGCGTTAGCTCAGGATGAGTGTTAAACAGCTGTTTAGTTTGGATGTAGCTGCAGCTGAAAACAGAATATGATGTATGATACTTATACAGCTCTTTACCTTGATCCTCTGCTCATCTTGCTGGGCGTACTTGATGATGGCCATCGTGTCCTCGTCTTTGCGTGCCGACTCCTCTAAAAAGGCATCCATAGCCTGCTGGTCCCAGTTCATCTGGTTCCTAAACTCCTCTAACTTCTGTTTGGCCTTGAAGATTTGGTTCTGAGGATAAATGGATGAAGGTTAAGTAGCACATTCTGGCTATAACAACAGCTACGGTTGTTTCTATGTTTACTGTATACATGTTGTGAATGTTATAGACCTCCAGCATGTTCGTCCTCTCTGCTAAAGATCTATGGTCGTTCTCCATCTTGGTAGTCTCCTGCGCCAGGCGACCTGTCTCCCTCTCTGTGAGGGCTGTGAGGTGTTTCTCCAACTCTTCTTCTCTCTCCCGGGCCTTGCACAGAGCCTGTGTGCAGAAAGATCAAAGTGAGACATTAACAACTCACTCAGATACTGTGACATTAACATTGTGTTGTGGTGCACCTACCTCAGTGTTTTCCAGCGCTTGTTTAGCATTTTTGAGGTATTCAGCCTTATACTGCTTTTCATCCTTGTGTCTCTCAAGTTTATTTGTCAGTTTCAGCAACTTCGTCTCATTTTTACGGATCTATTGTTGAAGGAATAATCAGATTAAAAGCATAACATGGCACACAAATCTTGTGATATAAGGACAGATTTACCATTCACCTGGAACACTTTGTCACATTGTGTGTCGATGTAAAACTTTACAACTACTGGGGCCGTGGTGGTTAAATGTAATTATTACAATGTGAGGGCAGCGTAGTTTTTTCCATTCAAATGTTAAATGCCTGTTAAATAAAGCATTGTATGGTAGTAAAAGCTCATGGCAGATTTTAATAGTTTAATACATGACCTGGAATCTATAAATGAATAAACAAACAATAACTTTATATAAAAGTTCAAACAGGCACCACTGATCATGTTCAGCACAAATCAACGGAAAAACATGACAATCCACTATCAATCATTACATTATTATTATTATGTATACATTCAGTATGTAAACAAATATGTAAACATTATGCAACACTGGAATCACAGAGCAAAGTCACACAGACAGCAAGTGTCAAACATCCAACCAATACATCGCTCTCAGTTAACGTTACTCAGTGAGCCTTAGTAAAACTGCTTTATTAGTAAGTAAATAAATAATTAAAACTGTCCCACACTCACCTCTTCTATCAAAGCCTTGTTTTCAGCGTTGAGTTCAGGGACAGCGAAGTGCTCGTCCCAGCCCACCTGCGATAAAACTGAACTCACAGTGCTCGACATTTCCCCGCACTGCTTCTCTCAGCGGAACAAAGGATCCTTTAAAGTGGACACTGTTTCTGTGGCTGTCCGTTGTTTATCTTTCGTTGTTTATCTCTCCGTTGTTTATCTATCCGGTTTGCTGTTGCAACAGTCCGTTTGTTGTCAGTCGCCCTTAGCAACCGCAAAATGTGGTCGCCACAAGGAGGCAGCGCGAGGCAGGAAGTGGATCATGTTTCATCAACCACGGTGCCTTTCTTCCTAAACTATGGGGGCACAGATTATGGTCTTTATGTGGATGTGAGTTTGATTGTTTTTAAAAGCTTTTTTTGGACCCTGAAGAGGTGAAAGAATTCCGTATAATACAGATAAAAAGGCAACACTTAGTGAAGAGTGAATGCATATTTATGTTGGCCCCTGACCGTGCGGACCCCCTGGTTTTGTTTTTAACTTTATTAAAGTTCTTTATAACAAACAGGCATCATCCGTGGTTGGTAAGCATACCTATAAATGAATCCAAGCAGCCTATTTTAACAGAAAAGATAAACAAGTCAAATAGAGGTTCAAATAAATGAAGTCATATTGAGCACCACGAGTGTAGAGATTCTGTTTGCCTGCTCAAAGACTTGTGTGTATCCTTGAGTATTTTGAAATTTCAGCACATCACTTGTATGACAATGAGGAGTTTCCTCATTATCACGGGGATGGGAACCATGTGTGCCATAACTGCATTCTTCTTAAGTGTTGAGCCGGAACAAAGTTCCAGCAGCAGGTGACCAGGCTTTTATTCAGCTGTCTCTTGTGTTTGGTTCGATGTGAAAATGACTCACGTCTCTGTTCACAGGAAGGATATTTGGGTCTGTAATCACTGGGGGCTGCAACTAATGATCATCAAACAGTAACAGTACACTAAGCTCTCTTGACTTATTGAATTATCACTAATTTGCAGTTATTAAATGTATTGATCAGCAGAGCCTCACAGTGTTTTACAATTCATTATATACAAATCATGTGAGACTACTTCAGTGATCCTGCTGAGACTGGTAACTTCATTAGTATAACGATCTCATTATCTTGAAAAATTGGCATTTGTTTCCTCGAGATAATGAAATTAATTAACCTGTTATCACAAGAAAACAAGCTTTGTTATCTCGAGATAATGGCATTGAAAACAATATTGCAAGCACAGCCATTCGTACATGTAGTGAACGAGTGCATGCAGTATATCCCTAAAGGAGTAAAATATAATACATGATGTTACTCCCGTAGAAGTTTCAAAAGCAGCTTCCTATCAATGTGTGACAGAAGTCCAGTGACCTCTTTCTTCTGGAAAAGTTCTGTGACAACAAATCATACAGCACCCAAATCATCTCTGCCACCAAAATGGAGCACAGTGCAGAGGTTGAGGTCGGGAGAGGTGGTTTCCACCCTCCAGGCAGCCATAACCAAAATAGTGGACGTCACACTGATCGCTCCAACTCCTCCACCTTCCCCTTCTCTGCCTGTCCCTTCTAAGCTAGAGCTCAACACCTATCCTCCACCAGAAGAAAGTCAGGGTGGAAGATGTTGATGGGTTATCCCCCTGGAAGCAGAATACACACATCAAAGTCACAAAAGCAAGAGAACGCATTGGATTAAGACTTTGAGAATATCACTGCAATTTATATTAGGTATTCCCTAATTCAGCATAGACCTAGACCTAACCAAGGACCAGAGATGATCCAAGACCTCATCCTGGACTATCTCTGCAACTTCAGGTTGACAGTCTCTTCAGGGTTACGAACATCCTCCAGGCATTGGCTGGAGAAGAGCACAATCACTGGTTATTTGGCCATGAACTAGATTGTAAAGTCAGCCGAGCTGGAATGTAGCTTTACCCTGAGTGGGATCCAGAAACCAAAGGTGACAGAAAAAAGAGAGAGAGCAACCAGGAAAACTTAAAGTCTAGATGTACCAACATGAAGTCCTGCCAAGGCTACCCTGGCCCCTTCTAATCTCAGGTAGGTGTCAGTGACACTAGAGAAGACCGTTTTACAGTTTTCACAAAGCACACTATGACAAAGCCTGTGAAAAGGATAGGTGACAACTGGTTCAGGATGAGATATGACCAGAGGTGGAGGAAGAACGTTGCAGTAAGATGGTTGGCATGTACAAACAATGTGCCTCCACTAGATGGGGGAATACAAAACCTCACAAGATCACCTGGATGGAGCTCCGGAGAGCTAAAACATGCTTTAAGTTTCTCATCCAGTCAGTCTGATGTTCTCCCAAGCCCAGCCAATCTGCATTGCCGAGGCCTGGTAAACACTCCAGCATGCCAACTGTGCTAGCAGAGGGGCATTTCCCCATTGTGGGACTATTAAAGGAATATCTTATCTTAATTTCTCATCACACACATCCTCAGTTGCTGCCTGCGTTGGGGGAAGGGCAATACCGCTGGCACTATGACCAAGTGCTAAGGTTTTCCCGGGGCAAGAATCAGCACGTCCCCAGACGGTGCATCACCTTCATCAGAGCGGGGAAGAAGGCACATCAGCATAGACAATAATCAAGAGGTAACTTAAGATTGATCATACAGAGATACAGCTTACAAAGGGATATGTATGTTGAAAATAATACAAAAGTCTCTACCTCTTTTCAGATGGTATCTGAAAGAGTAAGGTATCTCCCTAAAAGCAGAAACTGATCAATTAGGTATTCTTTTTCTTTTGGGATATAATTGTCATGTGAATTAATTTGTAATACCCCCAAACCAGACATCTATTATACTTATCAGACTTA